TAATTTTCTGTTGTTTCACCTGCTTTTGGATTATGCAATTTTCCTATTCCCAATTTATTGGATTGCAAAGAAATCTGTATTTCATTTTCAAGTAACATTGTAAAGTTTCTATCCCTTAGATTCCACATCAAATTCCTTCACTGTGATTTCCTTATAAAAATACCAAGTGATGCTCATTATACAAAATTACTAGAATGTAGCCCATTCATGTATAAAATAATTATGAAAAAGTTGTTATTTGAAAATAACTAAACCCTACAATGTAGGGGAAGGTACAAGATGTGCTACTGGTCAAAGTTGGGGTAGGGTTTTTGGTCTTTCATTGTATGAAAGTTCTTTGTATCTTTGAGGGTTCATCTGTGGCTATAATTCTATAATGCCAGCTCCTGGTATGAAGATAGCATACTTCCAAAAGTATTGCTGAATTTATTATAAGGAACGGTGTAGTGATTTGGTTTAGTGCAAGGATTTTGTCATCCTACAAAATTTGAGGTGAAAAAGTGGATTATTTTGATTTCCATCTTTCAATGCAATTTAATACAGATAGTAAGTAACTATAATCCAAATGTTCTCTTCTGTCATCTTACTAATAGTTTTAATATTAATGATAAGACATATTCCAGTGAAATTTTAATGTGACTGTTCTTAATATAGTGAGGCAGTTTTACTGTAGGATGCTTTACTATACATTACTATCTGTGCTGTTAGAGTTAGAAAATTACTTTGTATAATGAAGAAATTTAATTTATAGGTAAGAAACATTTTCAATTCCCCTTCCACCTCTATTTTGAAATGACTGTTTCACGGATTCTGTTATGCTTCTAGGCTGGTCTTTCAGTGCTGCTTTCTGTCATTTTTCTGATACACACTGCTATATTGAGTTGGAAAGTAGTTGTCTACAAAAGCACTTTCAACTGAGTATTATGCCTGCTATGTTACATTTTTATGACAATGCCTATGGCATGAAAAAAAAAAAGAGAAACAAAAATGAAAAAAAATTGCACAGTGCCACCAAATTAGCCTTTTTACTAGTTTTTTCTATTTGTTCAGACATTTCATAGTCAAATGGTTCCTTTTGGTCAAGTGCCGGTATAATTGAGTTTAGAGTGTTTCAGTGCACTGACCTGTAAGGGTTATACAAAAATAGAGGAGAGAGACTTTTTCTCTCATGAGTAGGTTCTGTAACAACAGCATGATCAGTCCCTGAAATGTAAATACCTTAATTCTAAATATTCCTCATTGCAAGTGGGACGCCTTTATAATTTCAATTTAAAGTTTTTAAAACATCTCTCTTCTGTAACTCTATTTCCTCAAAAATAAATAATTCCTATCACATAAGCATTCTGTATCTCAGCGCCTGTTTCCCAAGCACTCATCTCTTTCTAAATGTTGAATTGTAACAGAGAAATCTGTAGCATAGTTTTATTAATGACCTTGGCAGCAGACCATGTATAACCTTTATTTATTATGTTCACTTTCAGTTTTTATATTGGCATTCTCTGTGATATTGTTGGTCTTTGGTCTGTTCACCAGCTCTGTTGGGAACTGGAGATGCACACCTTAAGATGTTCCCCATAGCGCCTTGCACCACTCGGTTGTCTCCAGCCTGTCCTTCACTGTCAAGCTCCCCATCTGTCTCCATCTGTATTTGCTTATGGGTATCTCAGATTAGGCATCAGCACTGTTCTTTCTTCACAGTTCTTGATACTATGAATATCTTCAGTGAAAACAGTGGCTTTATGTAGTTCTGTTTCGTTACTGCCTTTTTTCGACTGTACTTCAAATGTCCTATCTCTGACCATACAACTACTGGCAGTGCTACAGAACAAAAGTTCCTGTGCTTTGGAAAGGTGCAAAATATTGTGCATCAAATTGAGCGGTCTGCGTTTAAATGTCGTAATATCAGAAAATGTTATTATTAAGAACAATTTCTGTCTATGCTATCTGAAGACAGTTAAAACTGGTTAAGACCTGCTTATTTCCCATGTTCCAGCATGAACAGTTGTCCATGTCACAACCCCATCGTTATTTGTGTTCCTGCTCGTGGCTAATTTTCCATGTCAAATTCCCTTGCAGATAACATACCTTTCCCCTGGGCTTTATTTCTTTTTCTGTTCTGTCTGTTCAAGACAAGTCTTTACTAGCTTGTCGGACACTCATTTTACCTCTCAGTGTAGAGGGAAATAACTGCCATCCTGTCAGCTTCAGTCCCTTCAAAGTTTCTTGGAGACAGCAAGCATACGGAAAAAAATGAAAATGAATTGCCAACTAACGATCATGTTGTTATGAAATTTTATCAAATGCCTCAGAAGTGTTTCAAATTTACAAACAAACAAATTTGTTACAATTAGAATACCAAGATACGTAAAGAACTATTAATATTCTTGCCTTAATTTGTTCCTCTGTCTACTACTTACATAGCAGTACGATTTCTTTCTTCACCAGCTGCTGTGGTGTCATATCTGCTGTAAGATTTTTAAGAGCATAATTGTACGTTATACACAATTTTCTCATAAGCTTATACTTACATGCTTCATAGTGATTCGTTTGCTAGTCTATCTTGTGTTCTTTAAGTTGTCTTAAGACAGATTTATAGTCATGATTCTCTTATGCAGTGGAAGTGTTTGAAACCTTCAACATAAGGATTTAGGTACAATGTTAAGATACGTGTAACTCTCAAAGAAATCTTTGTCTGTCAGTAGTGTAGTATTAAATGAAAATTGCCTCTTATAACAAGCTTTAATCACACGAGCTGAATCCCCAACAGCAATGATGCAAAATTTCCAGTAAGAAATAGAATTATTTAATTTCATGGTTGTTGCATGCCAACAGTTTGGATCCCAGTAGAATAGTCTCAGTATAAAGATTTATGGTTTTTCTCTACAAGACTGGAGATACTTATTTTGCAGCCATATGTTGGATAGTGATCTTTTGAAAAAAACAAGTTCCGTGAATAGTATCTTAGTAAGGTAGGCTGTCAGTGTAATCATTTCCATTTGATATAATTGCTAAAAAGAGATCTGTAAAACAATGGAACAGGTGCATCTTTTAAAAGATTAAAATTATCTGTTTCGTGTGACTTAGAATGTGCAAAAGTCATGGTAAGCAGGAGTGGAAATGTTTAGTTTTAGTGTCTTTAATTAGTAATTGGGGGTTCCTTTGCAGTAAGGAAATTTAAGTATGTATTTACCATGTTTATTTAAGGAAAAAAAACTTATTTCCATAAACATGAAGAACTTCTAAATTATAATGCAGTTTGTCTGTTGTGTGAAAATTTTTGAATGATCGATTAATAAACATGTTTTTGAAGCCCATCTGTCGACTTTGAATTAAACACCTTCATAACAGATCTTACCAAAAATGAAATTAGTTCACCCAAAAAAAAAAAAAAAAAAAAAAAAAGTTCCACAGTTTTTGTCTGAAATATTTTGTACCTTTCCAAACCTTTTTGTACTACAGAACAATGTCGGTCGTTAAGCATGTCCACCCAAAAAAAAAAAAAAAAAAAAAAAAAAAAAAAAAAAGTTCCACAGTTTTTGTCTGAAATATTTTGTACCTTTCCAAACCTTTTTTTGTACTACAGAACAATGTCAGTCGTTAAGCATGTCCACGTCTAAACTCTGCAATGTGTTAAATCCTTGGAAGGGCGTCAGATAACAGTAGTTCTTAGAACTGTGTGCAAGTTAATGCTCTATTGCATTTTCCTAGAGATAACCCATGTTTAAATTCATAAATAATTCAGAAATACTTAGAAAAAATATGATTCATTGCACAGTATGCAGCAGAGGCTGATGAGAAGTGACTACTTCCTGCCATTTCCACAAGGAGAAATTGAGGTTCTGTAATAAACTTAATCGTATTTACAGCAGGATAAATAAGCAATTGAATTTCATTCAGGTATTTCTTTCCATTTTTGATGGATTTGCTAAGTTTGCATACCTGGACTCCTTGTGTTTGCTTGTATGCATGGAGAGCATTGTGAATCCTAATTGAAGAAATATTTGCATATTGATATTCACACAAGGAAATTATAGCAGAATAACTGTGTGCTCATCCAGGCACCTGACTCCTGGAGCATATATTCTGAACATAAACAGCATTCAAGGCCCTCTGAAGCCTGTAGATACTCCTGTCCCTTCAGGACAGCTCTTTATGCTTTAACTCTCACACCTGCTTACACGCACACGTATATATTCCTGTAAATACATACCTAGTTATATAATTCAAAATTTAAAAAGATAAATCCAATAAATTGTAGAATTTTCAGGAAAATGATTGAATCTGGAAGCAAAGAAAAGGATAACTTCGGTTAATTTGTGAATATTAGTCAAAGATAGTTCTTAATTGTTCAAGTAAATTATTAACAACCAGGTCTGTAAGAACTATTCTGCAGTAAGCTGTGCGTTATCCAGAGCAATGAGGGACAGCAGAACTGAGGAAGGAGCCAGTTGGTATGGACACTGTGTGTTTCTGGATGCGTGCGGTAGTTTATGTCCAGTCGGATGTTTTGTGCAATACGGACCTGGCTGTTAGAGCTTCTAGATCAAAACGGACCCTAAAACAATATGGTGCAAATACAGCGCCTTAGGAGATAAGCCTTGCTGGACTAAGCTGGCTATGCATGGATCCAGCTCAAGTGTTCCCTCGTTACTGCACTGTGGGTGGTAGTTGGTTTAGTAGGATATTAATATACCATTGGTCTATTATGCCTGTTGTTTTATTATTCAAGAAATTTAGAAAGGACTCTGGAATGAAGATTGCAGTGATAATAACAGGAATTGAAGATGCAAAGCTGTAGTTTTAAACTAAAAAAGTACTCAGGATGTTGTAAGTGCCATGGCAGAGTACTGTTGACTCGTTCCGTGAAGCTTCTTGTTTAGTTTGTAGAATCACTGTTGTCATTTGTGTAGCTTTTCAGAAGATGCTGGTAATCTCTTTGATAGGTTAGTGTGTTAACAGCTGACATTATTAATTTTGCCATCTTAATTGGATCATTTTAGATGTTCAGCCAACTGGTCAGGCACACAGTGTGAGAGGCCAGCTCCCAAAAGCAGCAAGTCTGACAATATCAGTACAAGTAAGTACTTCCAGTAACTGCTATCGCTTGTCAAATTTGGCTCAGTTTGGAAATTGTAACCTTGTGATATTTTAGAATGTGAGTTTGTGTCATGCAATGTGCTGGTTACCTGTTCGTTTGGTTTGGTTTTTTTAAAAAAAAACAAAACAAAACACACGAACTTAGATCTCTCCCAGGTTTTTGATTGACATTGTGTTTCATGAGGTGGTTCAGATACAAGCTATATGCAATACACTCACTGCTTCAAGGCTAGCCTGCACTTTTCTTAAAGAAACTATATCAAGTGGCAAGCGCTTGGTGATACCACCGCTGTGCAGAGAACTAGTACGAGACCTCTGACCATTTAAGTCCTACTGAAAGCATCAAAAATAGAGTTGTAACTAGTTCATAACTTTTGCATTGGCTGTCTGCAGAGGTTTGAATTTTACCTACTGTGAAAATCATTCTGAAAGTAAGAATAGCTCCTGTCGTATTTTGTAAAACACGTCTGTGTGCATAAAAGGATGGTATCGCTACACTATTGGCAGTTTAAACTGGACAAGGTTCCCCGCGGTGCATTGAGTATGCTGATGGTACCCTGCTGTACGTCGTTGTCACATTTAATCCAACTGGAGCAGCAGAATAAATCACCCACTATTTAGGTTAGCTTGCTGCTTAGATGAAATCTTTCTAGTGATCCAGACAAGTGAAATAGCCCTTACAAGCTGGAAATGGGCAAAAAAGCAGCCAGAACCTAGATTAGTGTTTCTCGTTGAGGGAATACCCGCTACAGTTGGGGAAATAGGTGTTTGTAATGAGTGGCCTGCTGCCAGACCCCAGGCTGCACCATGCTCACCAGATGGCAATGCATGCCTGGTGGACTGGTTTTCAGGGGTTTTTTTCTTGAATGTTTACCTGCCATGACAAAATGAACCTTTTTTTTTTTTTTTTTTTCCCTTCTAAGTAGAACTTCACCTAGTTATTTATGAAATATTATCTTCAAACAGCACAGTTGTAATGTCCTTCACATGCTGAATCTCCATAGGCTGAAGTGTACTCGGGATGCTTCAAGTTTTTATCCACTAGTACTTTATTTCAGGCTTCTGGCAACCTGACTACGCTTTCAGTAAGCCCTCAGGCAGAATTCAAGGCATCTTTTCCAAATCTTTGTTTAGATTGTGTTTAGTGTAGAGCAGAGACTGCCAACAGCCATTTTTTTTTAATAAATCAGTAAATGTAGCCAATGAAACAACCAGCAATATCTTTGTTTTCCACCAGTTAAGGACTGTGATAATAAAGGAAATGCATCTCATTCCACATTATACTGGAGTCCTGTAGTTTATAAGGGCCAGTTTTCTGTAGTGTAAAAGTATTTGTTGCATGTATTTCTTTATTACCAGATACGTACATTAAACCTGAGAAATTCTTAGGAGGGCACAATTGCTGACCTTATTTTTGCAGGTAGTCTCGTTTCAGTGAAGTTATCTGCCAAAATGACATTAAGCCCATTTTCTTCCCTGTTCCCTCCTCCCCTTTAACATTGCTGGCTGATCTGTGCACTGTTGTTCTGCTACATTAAGCATCGTTGTAGTTTCCTTGATTGCCTATACCAACATCACAAAATTATTGGCTCTCGAGTACAAGGATGCACCAGCCCTCTAGGAATGAATATTGCTTACTACTTTTCGTTTTCCCCCAAATAAAAGTAATAAAAACATATAAATGTTAATAATGGAATTTTTCAATCAGAGCCATTCTTACTGAATATTTTAAATTAGTAGTTGCATGAGTTAAATAAACTACTGAACATGGTGGCAGATAAGTCAGTGGCTGTGCCACTCCAGTCCCAACTGTTCAGCAACTCCACACACAGTCATATGGCATTGCTTCAAAAGAGGGCAGGGAATTAGTCCAAAATATATTGTATCCAGAAGCAGGAAGTTCCAGATTTCTTGATAAAAGTACTTGTGTATATACCATTACCTGTAATTATATATTTTTTTTAATTGATCAACATTAAAATCTCAAATCAGTGAAGCTCATCACATGAAATTGCATTTGTTGGTGAGCAAAATTATTCTTTTTAAATCAATCTAACTGTTTTACACTTGTGAAGAAATTATTCGATGTGGCTGTGGATATTCAATGATATTTCCTTTTCCTGTTTTAGGAAGCATTGCAATCATTGTTCCTCTTGTTTTACTGGTGACTTTGATCACTACTCTGGTAATTGGACTATTTCTTTGCAAAAGGAAACGAAGGTAAGTAGTTTTATACTGAAGTATGAAGTAAAAAAAGTAAATCTTCGAAGTATGTGCATCGTTTTTGAAATTTTTGAAAAAAATCACTTTATGTTGAGCAGATAGTGGAAAAAAAAATCAAAACAAACAACCCAGAACTTGTTTCTGGAATCAGTGAGTTAGTTACGCTTTGGTTCTTGCTGGAAAAATAATTTCTATTATTTATATTTATATTCCATGTACACTAGATAAGAAAATATATTTCTTTTTCTTATCCACTTTGCTCAATCCTGCCAAGGCTGTATAAGTCTTAATAATTTTATCCAGGGAACTTAGTACACAGAACTAATATATTTCATTGAAACCAGGTAATTAATATTGTTCATGTCTATAAATACTTTCAGATAGAGCCTGTGCAGAATTTACAGTTTATAGTTACAGTTCGACTTACTTACTTTGATCAGTTCTTTTCAATTTTATATAAGCTACAGTGAAGATGTAAATAATGATCAAAGTATCTACTGTGAAGTGCCAAGCCTTGTCATCATTACTGTATTTCTTTAGTATCTTGCATCTAGTATCTTTTGTTCTCTTGAATTCAGCTGCCTTAGAGCTGATAATGAACTTTAGGGGGTATATTAGACTTCTTGACTTTAGCCATTTCTTCAAAGGCCATGTTGGGTGGCAGGGGAAGTAAGGTTGTTTCTACTGTTTGCAGACACCTGCAAGAGCTGATAACTTTCTCGTGTTCAGAGAAACGAGGAAGTGATGTTAGTGGCAATGAAGATTTATCAAGGAAAGATTCCAAATAATAAGGATGTGGCCAACTAAGGAAGACCTGGACTGTTCAGTCCTCTAGACTAACAGAATCTTTTGAGTTACTATCATCTAGCATCATGCATAGCATCCCCCTTCCAACTGGGGGGTAACTAGTAAGCATTAATTTTTAAATCCTTTTTGAAAAGCCAGCAAGATAAATGTATTCCCTGACCATACTGTTAGTAACACTGACCCTGCCAGGGTCCATGGATGTCAGCACATGCTGCTATACCTAAAGACCAAATTTAGTGATGGCCAAATCCCAAGAACCTGTTACTGGTCTGTAATTTAAGTGGAATAAACTATTGAGAATAACTTGTTAAATAATAGATCTTCAGTAGAGAAATAGAACTAACATCAATAAGGAGCTTTTTTTTTTTTTTCTTAAAATTATACTTGAAAATGTATTTTAAGGTTTTTTTATCTATTGAAAGACTGTCAAGTATTAAATTAGGTATAGATGTTCAACACTTGTATGCTACAGATAAGTGCTTATTTTAGGAAATGTTTTTTCTATGCCATTTCTGAAAAATACAGATCCTTTAGTGTACTGGATTTCAGACCATGACTGCATTTTTCTCAACAAAACAAGAGGACTGGATTATTATCATCCTGATTTTATATATTATATTATATATTATTCTCTTGTAATTCTAGAGAATATATTGCGTTGGGAAAAATTACCCTCTTGAGGTTATTTCAGTTGCTCAGACTAAAATCACCTCCTTACCTCAAAGAAATTAATTCAGTGACTAAGACAATTCAACTCAATCACTTGTCTTTACTGATATCTTATTCAAGGTTAAAAATAAGACTCTTTTATTAAAGTTGGAAAAATTCAAGTTGAACTTCAGGGAGCTGGCAGGGAACACAAACTGGAACTATGAGAAATTCATACATTTTTAATGCATCGTAATGAAACCATTTGCTTGTCCTCAGATTGCAACTGACTTTGGGCAACTGATTTCAAATGAAAGGGAAATGAATGAGCAAGGGGACTTCCATGCGCTCCATCTTCATTACAGCAGGGAGTCTGCAATGAATTTGGAAGGCTTGCCTTGAGAAGTGAGGGAAATCTGGAAACAGTAAGGGCAAGTGAGGGTTATAGACAACGAGTAAGCACTTTGTATTAATTCATACCACTACAGCCACATTGAGAAAAACAATAAAAAGCTGCTTCCAGTTTATGCAAGATGTACACATAGGCTCAGATTGCACTTGGTTTGCAGAACGCAAGGATTTTCTCATTGTATCTGCAGGAAACACTTTTTAGTCCTATTGGTCTTAATGATTAAAGAGAAATAAAATAAAATGTGTAGTATTTTAGGATGAAGTATCCAAGAAATTACTTGAAAATTCACTAACTTCTTTTTTTGTGTGTGTTTATGCATTATAGGACAAAAACTATCAGAAGACAACCCATTATAAATGGAGGAATCAATGTAGAAATTGGCAATCCGTCATATAACATGTATGAGGTGGGCCATGATCACAGTGAAGGTGGTCTTTTAGCCTCAGATTTTACCGTAAATGCAGAAAAGGTAATTTTTTTCTTTTTCTAATGGCAAAATCACTACCTATTCTGTCTCAGAAAGGCTTTGACTTTAAATGTAAATAATAGAAACATAAAACAAGATGTTTAAATTTAGCTATAAAATGAATATAAAGGCAAGTTAGACTTTATTACAATAAAATTCATGTGCATATTAACAGCTGTTTTGCAGTCTGATGCTTGCTGATGGACAATATTCCTTGTGCTTGCATTTTACCCAAACAGAATTAAAACTAAACTACAAAATGAGTGTTTGGTCATGGACACATCTGCTTAAGTTGCTAAGTCATAACCTATTTTTTAGTCTAGTTGCAAATACTGAATGGAAATGTGTTA